GCTGCTGTGGGAAGGAGCGAGAGGGAAGAGCAGGAAGCTGATCAGTGACCAGATGGTGCCCTGTTTCTTCTCCCCACAGCCCTCCACCTCTTCGGTTGCCTCAGATGAAAAGGTTGATTACGTGCAAGTGGACAAGGAGAAGACACAGGCACTGCAGAGCACCATGCAGGAGTGGACTGATGTGCGGCAGTCCTCAGAGCCTGCCAAGAGCACAAAGCAGTAGTGCCAGCGGCAGGCGTCGGAACAGGCAAATGTCCTGGTGGTTTTCCTCGGCTGCTGCCCCACCGGGCTGCCAGCTCCACTTGGGCTGAATTTCTAAGACTTGTCTGTGGAGGGGAGGGTGTCTCATTATTTTTTTTTCTTAAGACAAAAGGAAACTTAATTTCAGGGGAAGACTTGGCAGATACTGTTTGCCAGTGATAAAGACCAACTGTGTTCGGTGGCTAGGTTTGTGCTTTAGCTTTTGGATGCACAATCCAGGAACTTTGACTTAGCAATACCAGGTTTCACCCTAACATCTTTCGCTTATAGCTATTAAAGCCACCTTGTATGTGCTAACACTGCATCATCTCTCCCTGTCTTCTTCCGTGCCATACCTCCAAACCATACCATGCAGGTTTGCAGCATCTCCCATAGGACATCATTCCTCTGCTCTGGTTCTCCACTCCTTATGGTTGTGTTCTTCTCTGCCTCCTCCCAGTCCCAGAACTAATCAAGGACCATTCCTTTCAAAATCACTTTTGTTGTCCCATCTCTTGTAAATAAGATGCTCAAAACCTCTGAGGGCTGTTCTCCTTCTGGTCAGACAGCCCCATGGTTTTAGTTGAGGTTAACCTTCAGAGGCTTTAAAGATCAACCACACTGTCCCATTAAGCTGACTTAGAGGCCCAGGACTTGCCCTATCATACACACACATATATGCCAGCACATGCTCACAAAAGTTTGTTAGCATGTCTCTCTGCTGTTGATATTCTCCAGCTTCTCTCAAAGTCAATGGGCTGGAGAGATTGGCTTTAGAAGGTAGAATTTAAGCCCTGACCCACTGCTTATCTGAAGCCAATTCCTGTGGATCTGACCTTAAGAGCCAAAATCTGTCCTTTGTGGCACCAAAAGAAGCCCATAGAGTGAGTCTTACATCTGTGGCCATTAGGAGAAACTCTGTGATTGAGTATGAGGGGTGCAGGGAAGCTCAGGATACCTTGTATATCTGGACTGGCATTGGGATGAGTGACAAGAAGGGAGTGGAAGGCTGTTGCAAGGACTGAGAAAAGGCAGGTGCTGTACTGCAGAGATTGGTCTTGGGTGAGGAATTCTGGTGGGATATTTCTTAGAAGAAAGAAGAGTAATTGAAATGTTGGTTGATGGTGAGGTCATAGGCTTGGGAAAAGGGTGGTCAGGGAAGGATGTTTCCATATTAGTTTTAATGTAGCATTATGGTTGGTTTGTGGAGGGTGCAAAAGGCTGGGCTATTTTCTCCTCATCTTCAATAATGTTTCTTCAACACAGAAATGGGGCTTGCTGACATCAACGACCCTAGGCTCTGATTATGGTTGGGAATCTGCTGTTACCCCTTGCCAACATCCTTAACTCATCCAGGCTTTGGGATCACTCCCCAGGCAGCTGCTGGGTGCAGAGGGATGAGAAGAAAGAGATGGTTTAATGCAGAGATAATAATTCATGATCTCATGAAAACAGGAAGAACTAATGATTGCTGTGGAGCAGCCTGATTGCCAGACAGCAAGCGCTGACATGAATAAACAGGCTGACCGCAAACCGAGAGCCAAATGAAGGAGACATTAGAAAGATTAGGTAATAATATTTATTCAATAGCTAGAGCTATTCTTTCTGCTAGCTGAACCCCTCCCAGCACCATGGGCTCTATGTTCCACCAACACAAGTTGTACTGATTATTAAGGCTTATGCATTAACACATTTGTTTAATCTTGGTCTGAGTTTGGAAAGGGCCAGATCTGACCCACATGGGGATGGGATACCAGTCATTTAAGGGCTGTGTGCTGATAAAATAAGGCTTGAACTTCCATCACCATTTTATCTTTTCTTCTTGCATGTCATGAAAGGGAAGGATGTTAATGGAAAAGCTCTGATGACTCTTTTAAGACGTTGAAGTGTTGGGCTTTTACAGAAATAATGAAGCAAATATCCTAATGCTCATGGTAAAAATAATAATCATCTAGCAGGGGAACTAAAACAAGCCTCAAAGGGGAAGATTTAGCACAGTCAGATGCTTTCTGAAGGATCAGGGAGTGTGTTACAGCCTTGAAGGGCCATTGCCTTCTGTTGGGGGCTTGCACGCTTGTCTGGTGAGATAACAAAATGAAGACCAGGGTATAGTGCTTCACATTTCTATAGCTCCTTTCATCACTGCATCTCATGGAAGACTAAACATTGGGCCTGATCCAACGCCCACAGAAGTGTCCATTCACCCAGATGGGAGTGAGCTCCCCATCCCCATTGAAAAGAATGTGACTCAACTGGGAAGTTGGTTTTTTCCTCTTTCTTCCTCCAAACTGTTAGGTGGACACAAAGGAGAATGAGGCTGGGACAGAAGGGTTATGGTGCATGCTGGATGTCACATTTGAGTCACAACAACCCTATGTAGTGCTACAGGCTATGGGAAGAGTGGCTGGAAAGCTGCCCAGAGGAAAAAGACCTGGGGCTGCAGGTTGACAGTGGCTGAACGTGAGCCAGCAGTGTGCCCAGGTGGCCAAGAAGGCCAGTAGCATCCTGGCTTGTATCAGAAATAGTATGGCCAGCAGGACCAGGGCAGTGATCATCCCCCTGTACTCGGCATTGGTGAGGCCACACCTCAAATTCTGTCTTCAGTTTTGGGCCCCTCACTACAAGAAAGATAGTGAGATGCTGGAGCATGTCCAGAGAAGAGCAACAGAGCTGGGGAAAGGTCTGGAGCACAAGTCTGGTGAGGAGCAGCTGAGGGAGCTGGGGGCAGTCAGCCTGGGGAAAAGGAGGCTGGGGGGAAACCTCATTGCTCTCTACAGCTACCTGAAAGGATGTTTAGTGAGGTGGGAGTCAGTCTCTTCTCCCAGGTAACAAGTGACAGGACAAGAGGAATTGGTTTCAAGTTGTGCCAGAGAAGATTTAGACTGGATATTAAGAAAAGTTTCTTCATGGAAAGGGTTATCAAGCACTGGAACAGGCTGCCCAGGAAAGTGGTGGAATCACCATGCCTGGAAGTGTTCAAAAGGCATGTGGATGTAGCACCTGGGGACATAGTTTGGTATTTGGCTTGGCAATGCTGGGTTAAGGGTTGGACTCACATCACGGAGGTCTTTTCCAACATTCTACATTAGTGATTCTATGACTCTATTTATTTCCCTGCTGAAACTGTGCTGTTCTCCTCTCACACTAAAACACAGCCACCTCTGGGGTGGATTGCAGCAGCAGTTTTGGGAATAGCTCTTTATCCTGCTTTGGGTCTCTCAGTAAAACAATGCAGCTGTTCTCGAGCTGAAACTGAGGCCAGCTCCAGGCTAAAAAAAAAACTTAAGCTGGACAGAAAGCCTGGAGAAATCAACTGATAACCTGTGCTCAGATTGAATATTTTTCTCAAGCTGGGAGATGGGGAGCTCATCAACCCCAAAAGTACCTTGAAAGTGGGCAGATGAGGGGGAGGCAGCAGCAAGAGTCATTTCTGATGGTGCAGTGGCTTGAGAGACAACACAATGGGTTTGGATGCAGTTTGCTGAGTGGGTTCCCTGTGCTTCTGCACTGGGACTATGTGTATCCAGTGCCCACCACCACATTTAATCCAAAGTGTTAATTAGAACTGGAAAAGCCTTTTGTGGTACTGGAGAAACTAGTCCTTTTTCTCCACATTTCACAAACATCTGTATATATTCATGGGGCAAACATTGGCAAGGGATAGCCCTTTTCTCAGGCTCAGACCCCCTGATTTGATGATTTGCTCTCATGAGCTTCCCCAGTAAGTGGCCCATTGCATTTGGCAGACCAAGGACCAAAACAGCCCCAAAATAGCTATTTTACAGCTTCTGGTTGCTGGTCCCTCTCTGCTTTGCTGTGAAGTCTATGCTATCACAGATGAAAACATGCATTCCTTCATTTTTTTTCCCTCCTAAGCACCTAGCAAACAGCACCTCCAAACTAATTAGCAGCCCACAGATTCTTTGCTGTAGAGACATGACTGTATCAGCCTCTCCTGAAAGCCATTAAGTAATCAATGGCTTCAGTGGAAATAGTCATCCATGACAATTGCCAAGCTGATTACAGCAGTCCCCGATGATTAATGTTTGTGCAGTATTTAGTCTTAAACCATATTGAAAAGCAGCTACTTTAATTACATAGACTGCCAAGAACTTTGGCCTGAAGGCACTGAGTTTATCACATCCACTCTATACTTGGATGCTCAAGTATGACTGACTCTTTTGATAGAAATAGGTATTTTAGGAAGCTGAGAACATTGCAAATTATTCATTTTAATTGCAATTAAAATGGCTTGAGCCTTCACGTCAGAGCCTGCTCTTCAGCTCTATGGTCCCATTTAAGAAAAGGGATGTGCTTGCATGTGCTCATGGAAAAGAATTGCTTGTGGGACAAGCATCATGTCCTCAATATTTAGTTTTATAAAACACCAGGGCCATGGCTCAAAGCTCTCCCCAAACTCTAAAATGACTAAGCTGGTGGTTTGAAAGGCAAAAGTCTCCAAAAGTGTGTATCCCTTGCTGTGAGTATGCAACTGCTGCTCACAGTTGCACTGCCTGGGAGATGTGTGAGCTCCTCTTGGAGCTGATTTGCTCTGAAGTGACATCTGAGTGTTTGGTGGGAAATACATTTCCAGCTGTAAATGGGTGCCAGGCTTAGGTTTAGTCTCAAGTTGGAGAAAGAAAATACGTGTGAGCGCAGACTGTGCCAGGGCAAAGCTGAGTCAGCAGATAGGGCCAAATACAGAGCTGGAACCAAAAGGTAACTAAGACTTGGGTTGACTGAGGGAAAAGTGGGATGGATTTGGACCTTGGGCAACCAGCCACTGACAAGGGTGATACATGGTAGAACATGAGGATGCGAGGAAAGAAGGCAGGGGAGTTTGCCCGCAAGGTTTGAGTCTTGGTCCTCACCTTGTGCTTCTTTGGCATAAGTCTTGAGTCAGATATATATATAGATATATATAGATTTGTGGGTTGCGTAGTGGGGTTTTGCTCAGTAAAAGCCATGAACTGGTGGGAGGGGAGCTCCCACCACTCTCAGAACTTTCCCAGGGCATTTCACTCTCAAGGGGTTCATCCTGCCTGACAACATGATGCCTTAGTGCTCTGGCTTTCAGGGATCCCTGATCCATTCACCCAGCTCTGAGCTGGGCAGGAGAAGAAGAAATGTGGTGGGGACCCAGACATGCTGGGAGACATCTTGCTGTGGGACTCTTGTGAGCTGTTCATAGGGCAGCAGTGCCATGGCTTCACAGGGTTGTCCCACGCGGTGCCATCTTCATCCTTGGAGCTATTCAAGACCCGTCTGGGTCAACCCAATAGCTGACCCTGCTTGGATCAAGGGGTGGGACTAGAGACATCTCTTCCACCCTGAGACCCTGTGCTGCTGGGGTTAAGGAGGGACTCCTCCACATGAGGGAAGGGGCCAGAGGTGTTGCTTAGAGCTCTATAACATCCAAAACACTTACCTGGCCATGAAGCCAAGTGGCAGGGCACACAGATCAACCCCTA